TTGTATATGAAAATCTAGAACTTGGACCATCAAGAAAGTTGAATGTACAGGCTGCCAATTTGAATAAGTTTAAAATTCATGAAAAAACTGTATCAAGATGAATATAGACATAGATATAACCTTTAGATAATGTACTGGACCATTGTAAACTATGAGAATAAATTTTGGAGAAATACAGTATTCAAGGCATATGCTCTTCCATTGAGTTACGAGTATTTCCCAAGAGGCTATGGCTGCTCTTTTGTCTCCTAAAGCATTTCATATCTGAGTGGAAACACTTTACATCTTGCCATTGTAAATCCACTTTCTTTCCCCTTTTTGGAGAGACTGTCTGCTTATACGATATAAGCGTGCTTATACTGAGTATATGGTATCAAAGCCAACTAATGTTCTTTCCATATATCACTGAGTACTACTGACAGTTCAATCCCATATGCTCACATAGTTTTGGACTATTCTTAAAATACTGTTGTTTTTTTTTAAGGAAAAAGATAATTTAAGTCAAAAGTTTTAGTACAAATAGTTAAGTGAAACAACCTCTTCTCCCCACACCCATTTGATATTGATCCAGGCTCTTAATATTAAATTATATATATTATTGCAAATATAATCCATCCACTCTCCCTTTGTCCTGTTTTGTTTTTACTTAAAGGTATAAACAAAGCATTGAGTAGTTTCATGTGAACACTTGGCAGTTATATATAAATATACAACTAGGCAACCCTAGCACTTTCCCCACAACACCTTAGTTCATTGATAAATATTTGTGCTTGTTTTTCAGCATTTATTTCTTCTTGCCACCATTTTTTAATTAGAGCATAAGAAACAGAATGCAACACTGGAAATAGTTTTTGAAATTCTGGCAGAGAAAAATCTTTTCAGAAATATGGAATCTTATGTTACATGAGAATCATATTGATTGCACTGTAATTGAGAAAGTTTTCTAGTCAATGGCTGGTGTGGGTCTTCCGGGCTGTGTGGCCGTGGTCTTGAAGTTTTGTTTCCTAA